CCCTAGAAAAGAAAAGAAAAAAAAAGCAGAGAAAAAAAAAACAAGAACGAAGGAAGAAATTTTCGACAAGAAGAAAATCGGTAATTTCGATTCAACTATCTACTGCGTACGTTTATTATTACACGAAAGAACTTACGAAGAACAATACTGAATTTCGAATAGAATAGCGACAACTCGTGGATAAATCTCATTGGCACACACGACCGCGACTACGTTTCTTTTTGACGTTTTTTTTCCCTTTTAAATTGTTCGCTCGTCAGGCATTCTCCCTATTACTGCGAAATTAATTTATCCGAGTGAATTTCTCGTGTGCCGCGCGCGCGTACCGAAAGAAGCATGTCCGGTCGCGTCCAGGCGACTCCTAACGCTGCACGCTCAAGCCCTAAACCGGAACTACCTCGTTCGCGGGACATTTATGTTTTTCGCGTTACTGTATTTTTACGTTTATTTTATTCTTTTTTTGTTTTTTCTTTTCGCTTTGCAGAATAATCGCACGATCGTTGAAAAGAGCTGTTCCCGAACCGCGTGCGGCAGCGGGAATCGTTTTAATTGATACAAGCGGCGTGAACCGAGAAACACTAAATCTGCGTTACTTTGAGAAACTGTTAAACAATAACCGCCAACACGAGTCTGCTGAATTTGGTTGAACTGTACATTCTCCCTTCTATGTTTATGTATCTGTGGGCAATGGTTCCACCGTGCAGTTTTTATTTTCAACTAGCGGACTTTAGTAGTCTGGAGAGTTATGCATATGCATCTGCTGCTTGCATGCATTTATATATACACATATACGCGCGCGACAAGGTGTTACGTGCAATTTTTCTGTATGTTTTTTTCGTGTATACATAGTGTGTATGAATATGCGAGCTGCGTGGACGGCGCTACGTACACCACTCTTCGGTCAGTCAACCATTGACGCATTTAACAGTCGACTTTCGTCAGCATTATTCAGACACTCGTTGTTCCACTGGTATTCTTCAGTTCAACGTGTCTTGCTCACGTCAATATATACCGTTGAATAATCTACAAAAAGAGAAGAGAATGATTTTCTATTGTTCTCGCCGGACATGGATCAACCATGTATATACGTGTGTACATATATGTTTGTATATATGTATATATATGCGTGTATGTGTTTGTACATATATATATATACATGATCCAAGTGTTATCTGAAACCCCGACAATTTCAGAACGACACATACTTGCATACAGATGTGCTAGAGTTTGTCTTGGAATAGGAAGAGATTGTTCGTAGCGGCCACGGCTACGACGTTTTCAGATGGATGCCATGCAGTGTGCAGTATCTTTTTATTGAAGTCCAGGCAGTCGACGCTAATTTCATCTTTCTTTCGTTTTCCACCGGTACACACCTTCATTGCGAAATGGATCCCATGGAATCGAGATTTATTTAGTTACAATGTCATCGGTGATTTACAGATCAGTTTGAATTTAAGGTTTATACCAACCTTACGCGGTTTCAGAAGTGTTCTCGGTCTGGCAATGTCACGCGCTGCTTCCAACGTGAGATCGCGCTTAGTTGTACGGTCGAATACTCTGAAGAAATTATTATAAGAGCCCGTCATAATGGCGGAATCATTACCACTCCAACAACATTCGAATTTGTCGAAGATACAATCATTCTCGTATAGCGAACATAACTTTGATCTTAGGTATTCATGTACCTGTAATAATGGGGATTAATTGAGTGAGATTTAGGTGGAGGTTAAAGAAAGATAGGCGATTCGCTGTTTCGTTGAGCTACGTACAGGGTAACATTCAACAGGCTTCGTTTCCATTTGCAAATCCCACACTTTCACACTGAGGTAGTCTCTACTGATCATATATCTTCCTGAATTACTAAGTTTTACATCACTTATACTCGAGATTATCTCCGAGAAAAAACTTCTACTGGTTGGGTCTTCCGGTTCCTCGAACAGCTTACTGTGTTGGTCGCATAATGCAGCAGATCTCATGTCGCAAAGTCTAATTGTTCCTTTGCTACTACTGTATACCAGAATATTACACTCCGCCGGATGAAATTCCGCGGCAGTTATAACTTCTGTTAATTCCTCCATATTGGTTGGCTTAATGTCTACTATATCTGTGCGCAACGGTTAGGAAAAAGACACGCTTTTCATCGTTCGCGAACTTATACTACCCGTTTACCGACAACGAGCAACTAACAAAAGTGTAAAAACACCTATTGCACAATGCATACAGGAAAAAAAAAGGATACTATAACTCTGGTCTGTGACTTCAAGATTCCAAAGATTAATTCTGAGGTCATCAGCACTGAGGTATGTCTCCTGATCACTGTTAACGCTTATACTGTTTATATGATAGGTGTGCGCATTGGCAAATATTCTTCTCGGTGATGCTTCCACCATTAACTCCATTGGTTTTATGGTTGGTACCTATACGATTAGTTAAGTAAATATGAAACGTACGTTAAGTGTCTTACTCTGTGGAATGTTTATAAAGGTTATAGTTTACGTTGCCACAATGCCAATGTCTCATAATATTATGCGCATATTTGAACTCCTTGACCATATCTCTATTGTAAGCGTGTTTGGTTACAAATACAATGCTATACGGAGCACTACATTTACATAGAGTTTTAGAACGAAGAATGCAGTTCTAAATGAATATATATATATAGCTCTTTTTATATTTAACACTCACCCTTAAGGAAGTGATACATGCGGGATTGCGAATCGTACCATTGTCTTCCTTCGTGTTATACCCTTCTACTCTTTTATCCCGCTCGCTAACCTTCCACAATTTAATAGTCTTATCGTTTGTGGAAAGTAGAAAGTGCGCGGGATTTTTCCTCTTTAGCCACCTAATTTTATTAATTTTTTCTTCTATCTCTAACGATTTCAGGTAATCGAACTCGGGTTCATGACTCTGGAAGGTGCTGTACACATTGTATTCACCCCTCCGAGGTATACTGTTTTTACTCTACAGAAACGATAACATATCTCAATTATTACATAATCCTATAAACGTTAGCGGTTTTCTTTAATTTCAATTTATCGGATTTCATGTGAGAAAGCTTAATTCGAAATAAACAGAGCTTCCTCAAAATGATTGTTCTTTACATTGTGCTCAATGATTATCTTTAGATCTTCTCTAAAGATAGAGAAATGTAGCATGCTGTATGTATAAAAGCTGGCAATAATCCAATACTACGGTATAAACACAATTTTTATATAAAGGACATGTTTCTCTTTATTTAAAGTGCAGAAATTAGCATACTCTAGTAAGTACATATCCTATTGACATAAAAAAAAAGTTCAATATCAAACTCTATGCGGATAGATTAATAATCAGTTTAAATTCATAACTTACAATGGGGTCTCTTTGAAAAATAACAACCCGTCCTCCCTTATCTCCTGTTGCGAGGAGATCACCATCGTGGTTAAATTCTACACATGAGATTATATCGGCTGAAACAAAGGAGGAAAACACTAGTTACAATAAATTCTGTAACCAGCCAGGCGTATCATGTTGTACATCGGTGCAACCTCTGAATAGGATTATTTCTTCATTTCATTTTAGCAACTCCAAACTGATAAGATAAAATTATTCAAGAACACGAGCAAACTCACCTTCAGTGGCATCGTCTTCCAATGTTCCTTTCACCTGTGAGAAACACCACTGTATGTCACCATTGCCTGGAACAGTAATGCAAAGACAACAATATTAAAAAAACAGTAAGAATAAATCTCAAGCGAATGTAAATTGGAACAGAAGCGGAATCATAAATTCCCAATAAAGTATCAGATCGTGCTACATGAAATGTCAGATTTCTAACTTTCTCAAACTCGCTAATGCGCAAACTTTTTTAAACTCCTGCAATTTTTGGACCAATTTCATACAATAGTATACCCAGAGGAAGTAAACCTCATATTTCTCCCTGGCTCTACCTCGTGTATCGATAAAGCACATGCTCTTCTTAACATCATCAATGGCTCAGGCAATTCCTAACCATCGGACCATACACAAATGTTCTCCGACACAACTGAACACTAATCCCCCTCGAATCCCTTGACTCCCGCAGAGGAATTTCAGTGTAAGAATCAAAACCATCGGCAAGTGTCCAATAGACACAGGCTCAAGACACCTGCTCCGAACGAAAGGACAAGCTCCTGAAAAATCCGACATTTCCGAGCACACGTTAGCGCAACTGGCATTTGTTACTCCGTTTCTAACGTGTTTATACACAAACGTCATATCGAAGGAGATCAAGAACCGATAACGCTGGTCGTCCGAGAGTCACACCGCGCGTCCGTTACGCGAGTAAAAGGGTCGCAGGAAAATCTGCTTGCCGTGCCGACGATAAAAGCGTCGAAAAGCGGCCCCCGAATCGATACAAAGGATAAACGGCGGATCACCGTTGCGAAAAGGTGAGAGAGAGAGAGAGAGAGAGAGAGAGAGAGATAGAGAGCACACCGGGCAATCAAAAATAACGTCGTATGCGTGCACCTGCGAGGCATGATAAACGTACTCGGAAACGTGGTGCGAAGGACGGATAGGAACAGAGGCGAGCGAACCGTGCGAGATCGGAAACGAAAAAGCGTGGTCTATCCGTCGCGTAGCCGGAGGACAAAGAGGGAAAATCCGGCGGACAGGCGATAGAAACGACGAGGAGGGGAAAAGTGCGAAACCGGGACCCGTAGACGGGAGAGAAGGTAAATGTAAAGCCTACTTGAAGTTCCGGCGCAATCCATCGTGCTTCTAGGCCGTCGCCACCGCCGCCGCCGCCGTTGCTGTCGCCGTCGCCGTCGCCGTGGCCGGCGACGGGCGCATCTGGCCCCGCGCACGGCAAGTATCCAGAGTGTGTGGGTACGGGTGATTATATTTGAGGATGCGGAATTGAAGAGAAGAACCGTTGCGTGTGTTACCGTGAGCGCTGCGGATATACCCGTGAACCCGTGGATATAGTGTATCTGGGTCAAGGTTCAGGTTGCCGCGGCACGGCGAGGCGGCCAGCAGGAGCGACGCACCGTTCCTTCTTTCGTTCGTTCGTTCGTTCGTACGTATATCGGTTCGTTTCGGTTCGGTTCGGTATGATCTCGGTCTCGCACGGTCCGCGTGCGATAGCGATACACGGGGGCCGTACGCAGCCCTGGACACACTCGGTCGCTTATCGCGGCTTACTTACCGGCCATCTCGCACACGAGACACTACGCGGCCAAACGGATATTCGCACGCGTGAGGCTCGATACTCCCGGTGCGAGGTCCAATATACCGAGAGCCCTAGTCCGAGCAGAGAGATGCGACACACGCGCGCGGCGCGCCACGCCGGCCACCAGGCGACCAGCGAAAATCCTCACGATTCTTATCACGACACTAGCCCGGTCAACCCTTTCGCCTATCCTGTCACATATTCGTGCGTCTAGCCCGCCATCGAACTGAACGCGTACACCGAGCTTTCAATGGCGGAATTCACGAACGCATAACCGCACAACACTGCTATGCCGTGACGTCACACCGCAGCTAGGTTTCGCTGGCTCCACGGGAACCGCCATCTTGTACGCGAAAACCGATCGCGAACGATCAACGCCGGCCGTTCCCGACCGTTCGCGAACTCCAGCGCGCGGCAAATTCGAATCGCGAATTAGCAATTCGATACCGAAGCTCCATCTGATCGGTATCGGTAGCGTTGATTGCTTGTATTAATTAGTATTGCGAATATTTGTTAGTACCTTTATTGTTTATACGATAGTTCGTTATTTGTCGTGTTTCATGGTGTTTCGTTGCTGTAGCGATTAACCCCTTAACTCGCACGCTTGAGTTAATTTGAGCGCGCCAAACAGGCCAAACCGTGAAAATAATGTGAAAGCAAAGAAAAAAAATCGTTTTATTGATATTTATCATTTACATGGGATCGTAAGCTATAACGTTTATTTACTCAAGAATAAAATACAGCCTTTTTCCATGGAACAAAAGCGCGGTATATCAAAATTGATTTTTTTGGCCTGTTTTTTAAAAAAAAAAACTGTGCGTTAAGGGGTTAATTAGTAATAGAAAGTTACCTAAGAGTTCCGTCAGTTTCTCGTGCAGGTCCTCAAGCGAGGAGAAAAGGGGCACGTTCCTGGCCAACCGAGGGAAATTCCTCGAGCGGGGATCGGTCGTCGACCGGTCCATTTTCGGTGGGAAAGAAGCGGCCGAGTTTTTCTAGCCTCCCCTAGCCGGTGACCTTTAATCGAGCGCGAACGACGCGTCGCGTCCGAGTGGAAATACGTGACTCGCTCCGGGCGCGTTCAACGGCGAAAAGCGTCATTGTTTCGCGTTAGTAGATTTAGCCGATACATTCTCGATACGGTGCGCGCCCGTCGTCCGGCGCGCGCTCTTTCAACGGCAACCCTTTCAGCCGCTGAATACTTCACGCTGAATGCTTTGCCTCCAGCGCCGGCTATTTGCTTTCAAAACATTCTACCGCCACTGTACACAGAGCAAAGTTAACGTTCGCGGGACGCGCCGCTGAATTAAACAGCTTGTTTCACTTGACGCTGATCAAGCGTCGATTTCGACCTAGAACATTCTCGCGAACATTCTTACAGCGTAAACTGTGCAATTCCCCGAGCATTTTCCCACTGTTTTCAGCGATCGCCGACAAAGAAGGGATGTTTCGAAGCGACGAAGCGGAAGAACCGTCGGTTACATCGGAACATCAAAAGTCGAACACGGCAGGCGTTGGTCAATTGGCTTTCCCCGGTTAACAGGTGAAAATAACATCGGGTGTAGCGTGTCTCCGGGTGTCGGACGTGTTGCCTCGGGCTTATCGCGGGCAACAATTACGTTCGTGGAGCGGTTGCCAATCGATTTTCAATTCGACGGGGAACACACGCCTCGAATCAACTTACGATCGTCCCCGCGGCGAAGATTGCCCGTCCATCGATCGCGGCTGGCCGTTTTTCGGGGACGTTATCGTCGATTCCGAGGCGGTCACTTAGGTCAGCTCACGCTTACGACAGACAGCAATATGTCTGCTCTTATTCAAACTCTGCTATTGCGATACTTCCGCGTCGTGTCTTCATTTACGACGAATCGTTGCTAGAGTGTTCGAAGAATACGGATCCCAAGCGATTTTGTTAAAGTCACTTAGGTCAGCTCACGCTTACGACAGAGAGCAGTATGTCTGCTCTTGTTCGAACTCTGCTATTGCGATACTTTCGCGTCTTCATTTACGACGAATCGATGCAAGAGTATTCGAAGAATAAGGATTTTGTTAAATTTTCATGAGAACGTTATGAATTGCGAAGAGGAGGACTTAGAAATGACGTCCTAGGAAGCTAGTAGCTAACTTAGGGCTTTTAATGTTTCAACGAATAATATTTCAGAAAGCGTTAAAGGCCAACGAATCAAAAGGTGGCGCGGTTTCGCCGGCACGCCGAAAGCGTTCGATTTCGATTCTAATCACGAGCAGAGGAAACGCGGGCTTCGTACGTGATCGAAGCCCGCGGACAGGGTCTTCCGACGGATTTTTTCGAGCGAAACTCCTCCTCGGCCGAGCCTCTCTCTCTCGCCTCGGCTCGATCGAACCTCCGGCGAGCCTCTAATTGATTAATTGATCGCGTCCCCTACTTCGCCGGGCGGTGTGTCAACAACGGATCGATTTTTCTGTCGTTACCGTCGACCGGGGACAATTAACTCGGTCTGGAGAGCCGATCAAACAAAACGGGACGCGGGGGAGAGGGCCGCGGATCGTTTCTCGCGGCGCAAAAACCGCGGCGGACCGGAACGCGGGAGACACCGTCTCGAACTGGTACGGGAACACGAGCGGGAAAGAGAGCCAGTTGTCGAACCGCGTTAGAGGCTGCACGTTAATCACTTCGGTCTAACGAGCGTGCACACCGCGCGCCGTTCACCTCGAACGATGTTTGCGCCGAGCGGCAAAAAACCGTGCGCGCCAACGAAAACAGTGACGAAACGATGAAAAAGCTGCCGATCGTTTTTCGATCTTGCCTGGTGAATCCGGGCTGCGATCGGCGACTCTTCCTCTAGGAAACGCCGGTTGCTTCAATATTTCAAACGTGTCTCGGAAATGTTCGTAACTAGAATTCGTTGCTGTACGACTCAATCGAGAAAGTATCTTCGCGACGGTAGAGTCGTTAGGATCGATTCCACTCGATTAAGCAGGCAAACTTCGAATACCTCGAACTCGGGACTCGCGAGCCTCGAATTCCCGCCGCGGATCAATCGAATCGCACGCGTGCACTCGAAAGGCGTCCGTTTTCGTCCGAATAAACGTGCAGTTCGGCTTTCCCCACTTGTGGAGCGGTTCGCCACGGTTTTTCCTCGGTTCGTCGCTAACTCAGATCTGACCAGTAGACGAAACAGTGCCGGGAGAACGACGGGAATTAGCGAAAGCCGCCGAACCGCGCATTTACCAACGAACAATTCGAAATAACCGTGTCCTCTCGGTCACGAGGCCGACTTCTCCCCTACTCACACACGGAACGATGCTCGCGGCCGTTGCTGTCGTTAGTTCTCCCCTCGTCGGCCTCTTTCTCTTGCAAAATGGACTTGTTCAGATCGACGACGAGGCATCTGCGGCTTTTGCTCGCACGATCGGTACACGAACTCATCACTGATCCTCGGGACGCACGAGTTTTTACGCGCGACGAGCTACACTCGCGACAACATACTGTTGCCGGCACGCGACACGCCGAGTCCTCGTCGGTTTACCAACTGACTGAGGCCAGGGCCACCGAAAGAACGGCGGGTTACATCGAGCAGCGGCCGAACGGGGCAAAATAAACGAAAGTCAAGAGTTTGTCGTCTATTGTCCCGTCGTTTACATCGAACACTCCGTGTAAACGAATGTCTCCTGCGATTTTTCTAGCGACGAGAATCGCTGGAATTCATTGGAATATATGTAACTTTGATTGTCTTTTAGCTTGAATATCATCGAAGAACGTGAACGCGATGAGGTGTTATTACCGTAACCCGTCATCCATATTCTGTTCCACACAAGTAGCGAACCGTGAACGACTCCCCGCTCGGAACGTTCACAGTACCGGCGAGATCAACGTTGATTAAACGGCTAGCCATACTAGGAACCTTCAACCGAGACGGTTCGAAGAAAAAGTTTTACGATACCCCGACGCGTCGCGAACGGCCGAGACTCGTTATCGCGGCGTTTAATTTACAACTCGCGTTGCAAAACGTTCCCGTCTGTATTTACGAAACGAGCGCGCCCCTGCGGAACGACGACCCGCTCGACTCGCGTGTACACGGCGCGGCCAGCGCTAAGGACCTGCCGTAAAAATGGCGTCTGCGACGAGTCTCTCGTAAAGAACATTTACGACGTTCTTTACGGTATTCCCTGAAATAATTCGGTTGCACGGTTGCAACACGTGTTTCCAATAAATTCTATACATTCGATAATTAGTATTAAGGATAACATTCGTCTTGAATTGTTTCGAAGTCGAAGAAACACGCGAGGACGCGTAGGATCGAAAGAAAATGGCGGATTGGAGGTAACACTGTCATCATCTACAAAGCGATTAAAAGATCGCCGGGAGATTATGAATTAAGATTTTCTAGAAAAAAACAACTACAAGCGAAAGACCAACTTGCAAGTTGGGTATCCAAAATTTTAATCGCGCTATAGGGAGTTCTGCTGTACATTGTCATTACATTCACACTGTGCAGAGAATCTTTCCTCCCGCACCTATGTAAATACATGCCCGTATCTCGAATGCGAAAAAGATAAAAACAAAAGGGGGAAAAGTGAACTCACCGACTCTCTTGTTCACGGCGGTATTGATCATGGAGCCGAGCTTGGTGAGGCTGGACTGCCTCATGATGTTGGAGGGGCTCTTCATCCGTTTGGACGGTGGTACCGGAAGCGGGGCGGTCTTGGACCTCGCCAGGATGGCGCCGTTCCGGCAGTTTCCGTTTGGACTGGAGCCGGGGGGCCGCTGGGGCGGTGCCCCCCATAGACCCACCACCCCTGCGTGACGCGTGGTGGTATCTCGGGAACGTCAATTATCCTCCACCTGTTAACCTCGTGTGCCGTTCCCCGCGGGAACCCCTGCCGCCGGTCACGGCTGCGCTGCAACACAATGAAACGATCGCGCGTGGCCTGGTCAGTCTCTACTGGAGCACGATATTAGCTCTTACAGGGGGATTACGGAACACCCCATCCCTCGTCCTCGAATTCCCGGCTATTCCGGACTCGAGAGTGAGAGAGAGAGAGAGTGAGAGAGAGAGCGTTCCGATCGGGAAGGAAGGATCTGCCACGGTAATTCAAACGCTTCCCACCTGTTGGACCCCGGTCCGACTATCCTCCGTGAAAATCCTCTTTGCAACGCTTCGCGGCGTCTCGAGAGCCGACAGAAGGTGCGCAGACTACGGGATAGCGAGATAGAAAAATGAATTATCCTTTGGAGGATCGATCCGAGTTTCCATCAGTCGCTAATCACAGTACTCTAATTTCTAGGACTTTAGGTGTTCACCGAGCACTGGACGGTAATTTGTTGGAAGAACTGTTAACCCTTTGCGATCGAAGGTTGCTCACTAGAAATATTTAGCCTTCGATGAGAAGACATCAATGAAGGCAAAAGGATATTTTATTTGAATATCTCACATTATGCAATGTTCAATATTCTGACTTTATAATTACGCCATGTCATATCGAGTGTTGACTGAGAGTCACCTTTCGAGTGCAAAAGGTTAAATGTTCCTCTGTTCAGCGGATCAACTTCAAACAAGGTAATTTCGTTCGACAGCTTCGTTAATGCTCGTTTCTGAAAGAACTTCACCGAGGGAGCCCATACGGCCGCTAACAGCGCCGTAATCCCAACACTCGACTTTTGATCCGTTTTCAGCGCGAGTATCGCGGGCGTAAAAGCGGCTGCTCGGAGAACACGCGCGTGAATGCGCTCGCCTACGGTGTGTGTGTGGGCGTGCCGGCCCGGAGACGCTCGTTCGACGCGCAAATGCATAAATATCGCCCGGAGGACCGAGGAAAAGAATGAAAGGGGGGCAACAGGTAGCAGACGCAGGGTAGGGTCGCGCGGAACACGCAGGGGTTGAAAGATCGCGCCCCGGCCGCGGCGGGCGGCTGCAGTCGTATCGTTTCAATGGACTCATTCACGGTTGCGGTTTATCGTCGCTGCTTTAATAAACGCTAACGACGTCGGGACCGCTCGATTCAAGCTTCACCGGAGTCATTTGTCATTTCTGCTCGATCCTGAAAGCTCTCAACTCCTGACACCTTTCAGAACAGGAGAAGCTAACAGAGTTCCGAACGTTTCACAGGATTCTTCAACCCTTTTATTAGGTGAGAAAAAGTTCGTGCGGCTTTCTTGTTAGCAATGAATCGAGGTTCGATTTCAATTAGTATTTCACTAGTTTAATGGACGTTTACAAAAACAATTCTCTTAAGTGTTTAAATTTTCTTCGATCTTCCCGTACGTAATATCTATTGCAACCGCATTATTTTATCCCCACGTTGAGCGTTCCATCAAAGTCGACGAATAATGGAAGTTGACAGACGCCGGGTCGATGGAATAATTAAATCGTCTTCCAGGAAAATCGATAGACTTATCTCTCGCGGCGAGCGACTCGCCTGTCTCCTTACCTACGAAGCGTAGGAGAGGGTTGAGAACTGGAAGACGCGGTCCGATCGATCGGTGAGTCACTCGGGTCTCGTCATCGGTGAATATTTGCAGTTTCATTTGCGTGCGCGGCGTGTTTACAGGCATTGTGTCGCCGGCACCGCGTCAGGTGCCACAGGCGTTAAAGAGGAAGGCAAAGAATGCGCCGAATAAACAGTGTCGCGAAGGATCCGAATCGCTAATCCGTGGCCTCGCTCGGAACAACGCAGCGAGATCCGCGGAGGCCGCCCGATAAGACCTCGAATATCGCCGCTCGCTTAATTCCTCGCGCGATTCGCCTTCTTCGGAAGCCAGCTCTCTTCTTATCGGTTTACGGGCTTCCTTTACAAAACTTCGAGCCTGAACACGAGAATATCGAGAGATCTAATTAACTGAATTCATCTGTTCAACACATTGTCCTTCCAAAAATTTCAAGTTTCATTGCAAATGCGAGTATCGGGCGATCTAATCAACTCTGGATCCATCTGTTCCATCGAAATGGAATTTCCTCCATCGCTTCGTACATTCCTCTTTCGAGATTTCAAGTCTGAATGCAAATATCAAGCAATCTAATCGCGCAACCCTGGATTTATCTGTTCCTTTAAAACGGATCTTCTTTTATCGCACCATACGCTCCTCTTTGAAAATTCCAGGCCTGAATACGAATACATCGAGCGATCCGAATACGATTTGAATATCGCGAGGCTTCGAGCATCGGATAGTCCGATATTATTATTTTTTGAATGAAGCATAATGACGACACCGATAGGCGACGCGTTTCCAGCCTCGAGATAACGCCAACCGGATTACGCCCGCGTCCTGCGTCACGCGATCCATTAATCCGACGGGATCGATGACGAGCCTCGGATGGAAATTGAAATTCGCTTAATGTCGGCCACTGGTTCGTCTCCCGTAAACAACGAGGCCCATTACCACCTGCCACGGAAGAAATTGTCCCCTGATCGATGCGCAGGTGCAGGATGCATCGAAACGCTTCCCGTGTAACTTTAACAGACTACTGGTGCCATTCAAAATGGTTCCGAAATTACTGTCGTCGGAGCATTGAATATTCGAAATGATTTTGAAAATAAATATCATGAAGTTGAATATTTAGTACTTTAAATTAAACTTTGTATCGCTATGTGAAATATTTAAATAAAATAACTTTGTTCCTTAATTTATCCGTGAATTATCGTTAGATTAGTCTCAAACAATGTTGTCTACATCTCGTCGGAAAACGTTGAATACTTCCAGTGAACTTTCGAGTGCAAAGGGTTAAGGGAAACTTTCTACATTTTGGAAGATAATTTAAGATTGACCTTAGGTGAATCGGTGAGTCCAGATCACTAATTACGAATTAGATAAGCAAAGCTATCTATCTATCAATATTCAGATCCACCGCACAGAAACCGAAGGACATCGTTCCGCTCGACGTCGGATCGCAAGAAAGCGTTTTTTCCCGTCGATAAGGATTATCGTTATTATCAATATTATTATAATCGTCCGGATATCGTCCCGTTCCGACTCCAGAAGCCGCTTCTCCGTTCGCAGCCGTCGAAGCCCGTAAGCCACCAACACAAAGCGGCCTATCGCTTTATCTTCCGCGCGAGCAAACAACGATTCCTCCGCTCGTGACCGCCGGGAGTGCAGCGGCACCGCGTCTCGCGGGGCTCGACGTGTTCGCAGCTGAGCGAGATAACGACAGAGGAAGATTTCGCGTCGAATTCGATCGCGGGGGACCGCGACGCGACAAAAGAGCCGCGGGTCGCGTGCGTCCGGCAGCGAAACGGCGCGTCCACGTACCGCGAGCGTATAGTCGCCGGCAAAAGTATTCGGACGTTTGCATGTTTAATACTAGATTCACGGAACCCGTCAATTTGACGGATATCGAACTTTTCGAACGTTATTTAGTAACAGTAGATTCGCGCGAATACGCATTGCAATGCTCTAGTTTTGAAGCGACAATTTTCTCCATTTATATAGACGAACGCTTAGTTCTCTAAGAACAATAGAACAAAGTGTAGAATGAACGTACGTGAATCTAGTGTTGACACGTTAAGCGCCACGAAAATCTTAAGCGTTCTCCCATAGAGTTTGTCTTTCGTAGCAAAGAAAAGCAAGAACAATTATGAATCGTTCGGCGTTGCAACGTTCGCGTATTATCAACTTAGTTGCCTTATTAAACATTTTTATTTCGCACCGATTGTCTTGTACGTTACGATTGTTTTTTAGTCATTCAGAAGCGTCAGTCACCAGTGACCGACATGGCGCTTAACCTGACCTTTGCACTCGGGAGGTGACTCTCAGTCAGCACTCGATTCGACACAGTAAAACTACAGAATGTGATACCTATAGCCTGACATGCTAACTGTATATATATTATTTATCACAGTTTAGTTAAGGGGTTAAATACCCCTTCGCCGAGGATTCGGTGAACTTTCGAAAATCTAAGAAATCGATGCATCGATGTCTGAAATACTAGAGAAGAAAACTACATACGGATCTCTCGTTCGAACAATTCCATCGTTCCGCGGTGTTTCGAATTCAGATATCAAAGTTCGAAGTCCCCGTTACGGCGGTGTGTACAATATCGTGTTCCTTCCGTTTACATTCTGCGCTTTAGGATCGCGCGGCGTTTAAACGCGATGAATGCTGCACAATTTGTTTGCGTGCTGGTAAACGCTCTTTCGAATTTTATCGCGTCGCATGCACCGCGGACGCGGCTCGTCTCAATAAACAACGAACGGTACACGGTGTACAGTTTTTCCGGCGATAATTTATCTCTCTCGGATACTTTCGTCGCCGACTATATCGCGTATTGTTCGCATAAATTACGCCGTAATCGGATTACGTCCCGTGAAGCTGGATGTAAGCGGTCCTATCGGTGGCGCATCGGCCCTGCGACAACGCGCGCGCACACACACTCGCGACGATGATGCCGTCCGTCGGTCTGTTCACGTGGTCGACGCGATAAAGCCGAGAGATCCCGTTCGGAACGCGATCACGCGGCCCGCTCGGTTAATACCTTTGTTTTTCACCGGCGGATTCCTGGTTAACGAGGCCGCGACCGTTTGCGACCGACGATCGAGACGCACCGATCGCGCCGATGGATCGATCCGAACTGTCCTCGCGAAACAACCGACGCCTGTTATCGTTTCGTTCCTCGACCGTTTCGGAATTCCGCTGCGGGCATCGCCGTCGGATTTTTCGGCGATTGGAGCGGCCACTTTTTTCCAATATTTCAATTTTATGGAAGATTTTCAGATTTTTTCAATTTTATGGAAGAGACTAAGGTTCAGGTGTTAAGGTTAACTTAAGGTTAACTAAGGTTACCCCATTTCTATCCGAACTGATGGAAGAACGAGAAATCGTCTGAAGAACCGTCGAAAACTCGGAACTGCCGATTTCGCTGGAAGAAGTTCAGGGGGTGGAAGGTTAGGTCCGCTCCTCCGCG